AAATAATTTCAGTCCCATGTTGTCGAAAAACTAATACAAAAGAATAGATTTGTGTGCTAGAATGCGAACATTATTCTGTTATCGAGTCAAAAATTCGGTATTTCGATTTATATTTGCTGCACGGTTGGGGAGCAGAAGAGTGACTGATGTCATAACCGAGAATCTAGGGATTTCTTTGTAATAGTGGCCTTTTCGCAGCGTAATCTCGACCCTCGTCCGCTACCGCTCTGGGACATGAATTAAAAACGCAAGTCCTGTGATTGTTAGCGCATTTCTAGAGTGTAGTCAAATTGTTATGCATCTTTTGAAGTTATTCATTTGAAGTTTTTGTTTCAGATTTCCACCAAACGGCTCCCTATGTAATCACATCTAGCGTGGATCTGTCGTGCAAGGTGTGGGAATGTCGGTGAGGTGTGACGTCATTGGCAACGTGAGCTTCTGACAAACTTCTGACAAACCGGCTTCGCTTTTTGTGGCTCTTTCCAGTGCTCCCAAATCAAATACGGCTATGGTAAGGTATACTTGGGAATAATAATAACTGTTAACGATAAGACCAAAAACCCATAGTTGAGGGGGAACACTCGGTCATCTCATTGCCCGATTCGGATTTTTTTCTAGTCCTAGTGTTCCTCATCAACTGAAAGGGTAGTTTGGTCGCAGTCGTCATACTGTGGTGAAGAGACGCATTCACCAGCTTTTGTGTGACCTCTCATCTCTTCCGTGTTTCTGCTGTCTCGTACATCTCGCATCGCTGAAACACACATATTCACGTAGGGTATTATGCATGTGTTATTATTATGTGTTCTCCTGTGTATATCCTTGATTATTTTCATAACTTTTATACTGTGCTTTCGTGTACGCACTGTACTCTTTCTTGTGACTCTTCCACAGCTCTGCAAATCTAGCGAATTCTGTTTGTGTTAGCAGTACTGCTATAATAAGCAGCTCTGCAAAATTGCATGCTTGTGCGATAAGTATTGATTAGTAGTATATGGTCGTCCTCCCCACATAGTGGTTTTACCTTTGGTCGCGGTGTTGTGACGTGGTGATGAGGCGTGTATCGACTGGATGTGCTTTTATGCTCTCTGGAAACGCGAGATGTGGAGATTTAAATCGTTGGAGTACTGTTGCTTGGAAAACACAAACATCTATGAAAACCCTGTGCACTTCATGTCAATAATTATGTCAATTTTTTTGTAGATTGGCGTGATTTTTGAAATGAGGTTAAGATGGCGTACATACATTATAAAAGTGTAATCATGTGTATCATTGAATAATTTTTCTTTTCCTTTATTTTTCCAGCCTGCTAGAAGGTGTCTAACATTTCCGGTTATGCTATATCCCAAATAGGCGTTATCTTCAGGTGGTTTAGCGACTTTTCTCTCTGTCTATCCACTTTTTCCCCTTTTCATTTATTTTTATTTATCATCATTATCATTTCTGTTGTATCAATCATGCGCTAATGAAATCATGGTGTTGTTGTCGATAAGCTAGCTTTTCTATGGATTTTTTTCTTCAGTAGATAAGCATTATTATAAACGTCAGAGCGTTACAAGATCTTCTGCTATGTTAATGTAAAAGTGCGCGTCGGAATTTTTTGAATTTTGGGGCCGTAATTGCATACAAGTCTGTAGAAATTTCCAACGCACGCCTAAAATCTGTAAGATCAGCCCATTCTATAATTCGTTATCATCGTGTTTAATGTTGTTGTACTCGAACAAGAAAATTATTGATTGATCCGTTGAGCGAAAATTCCCTTTTCGATACTTTATTGATTGATGTGATAGTTGATGATGTAAGCTTTCAGGCTGTTTTAGCTTGTTTCCTTCAATAAATCTATGCTTTTATCGGTGTTTTGTGTTTCTGGGTGCTTTCACATGGAGCACATGAATAGTATTTATGTATGCGTACCACGCATATTTTAAGGTACCCAAGGTGACCGGCGCTCAGGAAACGTGGCGAGAATCTTGCCGACTACGCTTTCATGTTCTTGTGTCTCAGGTGATATTATATTCGCAGGCAATTTTTGGTTAACGTCGAAATGAGTTTTCTGGTTTCCAATTTTTGAAAATTCATTTAAAAACAGTACTTTAGGCATAATTATCCTTTTGTACCGAGTCTGTTCCAGTAAGAGGGCATTTGGTGTGATAGTTCATGCTGCCTACAGTAACCCCAGTGTTTGCCGGTTCCGGAATGGGTTTCCCCCTCTGCAAAAATTACTGTAAGCTGCATGAGCAATTCTACCATTACCCTCACCTCCTTGTTGGAATAGACCGCTTGTCTTTCGACGCTCGTATTTCTTGGAAACACACTCGTGTTCAAGTTGTATCAAGCCGGCTTATCATAAGTGACTACTAGTGATCTTAACCTCTTTCCCGAGTATCCTCGGAGCTTGCTGGTTTGCGTTCTTTGATATGGGTTCACGTCCGACCTTCTCCTGTGCTAAATTCTTAGCTATTTTCTGTCCATCAGCGAAACCTTCATGGGCGCCACACGCAAATTCGTCTTCGGTGAGGCACGTATACCGTCCGGAGCGGGAGTATCGCCTAGCTCCTTCGTATTTGTATGGATTAAGGGGGACCAATCTTAAGTTCATGTCGTAGAAGCTTTCTCTAATGAAACCAACCACCTGTCATGACTAACCAGGTGCACTGCTCGAAATAGGCATCAAAGGTAGATATTAATATGAATTGGTGGCCTGCTGGAAATGAAGGTGGAATTGTTAAGAGGTGCAGCTGTGAAGAAAAAACTTAGAGAAACGAATCAAATATGTAATTCAACTGGTGAACCGATTACTGCAGCTGTACTCCTTTTTGAGTGCAATAACCCTCATTTTGATGAGAGTAGCGCGCGGGTTTGCGCCAGCGCCCTCAAGGAATGTGGGACCCCTTGCATCTCAGTTGGTGAAAATGGCAGAGATAGTGAGAAAGTGAAACCTGATATGCTGCAGAGACTGGAGTTAAGTGTGCTGACGTGCAGAAAATTATGCTCTACGTAGATAGTGCTCAGCTATTTATTCCTTCAACTGCCAGTGGTACTCGTATGGTAAAGTGTAATTGTACCCGTGCCATCATTGGGATCAGCGGAGCGTCCATTTTTCATTCATTTTTAGAATATATCTGTAGTTTCTTATTGACCGATCAGCTAAGAGGGAAGCGGAGGAGGCGTCCTAAATTAGGTAGCTCGTTCTCGAGCTGGAATGACAGAAGAGTGTGCAACATCAGACGCGAAGCAGCGGAGCTGGCTTTTGATGCAGCTGTTTGAACGTTTATTTCTTATAGATCCGATTAACCTACTCTGGAATACTGTAGCTCCTTATCTTACGCAATTAATCGCAACCACTTTCGCCACGTTGAGGCTATCGTCAAGGGACGGAGATTGCGACGGGCTCATCTTCGACTTGAAAAGGGGTCTATTTTCGACTTCTAATCGAGCGGGTTGAGCCATTTTGGAGTGGTGACTACACCAGCAGCTTGGTGGCTA